TCCAGGCGTCCCGCCGCAGATGCTCATCATGGGTCCTCCGGGCACGGGCAAGACTCAGTTCGTACACACTCTACTGTGGTACACGTATCAGCATGACAGTCCCGACTGGGCCGCCACATGTGCATACTCCTGGGCTGCCGCGATCGCCTTCAACACCNCAGTACACCGCAGCCTATCGACCCACTCCATGTTCGGCATCTCAGCCAGTCAAAGCGGCTCCCGTGGCGCCAACCTTCCCAAGCGCGGCGCCCACGCCGGCCTTCAGGTCAAGCGCAACGTCGGTGATGGGGCCGTCCTCATCGACGAAATTGGCATGCAAAGCCACGAGCACCTCGGCGCCATCAGCCACTCCTGTACAGCCAATGTGCCGCCTCCACCACACCTTGGACCCGCCCATCCCAGCAGCCGTGTCTTGTCCGGTCGCGTTGCTGGCGGAATCGGCGACCTGCTGCAGCATCCTCAGCCAGGCGGGTCGCCGCCATACCGCTACGCCGCCAATGTCGAACAAAACCCCCAGTTCAGTCCCTCGGCACCGTCAGCACAGTGCCGGCCGGCCTCGGTTGACGAACGTGGAGGTGACCATGCTGACGGCAGCAACAATGACGGCACTGATGCCGATGACGACACCGGCAACCGTCGCGCCACCACCTCCACACGTCGCACTCATCGCCCCGTGCCACAAACGCACACCCGCCTACACGACGGCTTCAACCTGTACCGTCAGCTCGGCGGCACCGTATTCATGCTGCAGAAACAGCAGCGGCAAGACAACAGCCCATCTGGCCAGCAGCTTACCCGCTTCGCAACCATGTTCGGCGGCATTCAACCCACTGAAGCACGTGTTGCAGATCTAGTAGACGCACTCAACCAACGCGTCATCACAGATTTGTCCGATCTCACAGACCTCGAACCCCGTGTCGTGCTGCAACGGAACGAACCCAGGCACGCGCTCAACACACGCCTCCTGATGCTCCAGGCGCGCCGCAAAGGAGCGCGTTTGGTCAGCTGGAACGCGGACCACGTCCCGGTTAGGCAACATGGCGCAACCCAACAACAGCCGCTCTCCCACGTCGAAAAGGCTGTCGCAATGCGAGTAAAAGACGCCACCTTCGACCACACCACCGCCGACACTTGGTACTACGAGGGTGCACGCTACACCCTACTCGACACCACTGCTGCCGACGCTGGCGCGTGCCACAACAATGAAGTCGAGGCGTGTGGCCTGCTTACCGACAGCCGTGAACCGCCCGACGACGGCCGCGGCCCGTACTGGCGCCTCCACTACCTACCTGCAGCCGTCTTGGTCCGTCCCATTAAA